AGGCTCATGGTTGAGTTCTATTGGTATTGATTTATATAACATTGATTGAAGGATGAGACGATGGATTTAAGCCCCATCGCACCAAAAGGGTAAGACAACTGGTTTAAGTTCGGATGACATAATAAAAAATATTGAGGGTAAGACGGTAGATTCAAGTTCTATCGCACCAAGAGGGTAAGACATCAATTTGAGTTTTGATGCACCATGATGATAAGGATTGGGTTCAAGTCCCATAGAATTTGGCCTAAAACGCATTATATGAATAAGACGTTGAGTTTGAGTCAATGCACCATAGTGGTGACAAAATGATGATTAAGGCAAAAATAATATATTTTAATGAAAAGTCTTGAAATTCATCATATTGAATTTGCTCCATTCCTTGAAAAGAATGTGGTAGCAACATGTGATAACTTTGAAATCCGCCTGTTGACTTGCTCCATTTAATCATATGAATGTGGTAATAGTGAATTAGTCTGAAAGATGACAAATAATTAATGATATGAATATGGGCGTGAAGGAACAGAATTATAATATTCATCGTTGTGGTAATTATAAAAGGAAGAACACCATAGGTTCTCCAAATAGTCCTTCAGAATGAAGGCAATTTTATCATCAAAATAGTATAAAAGGTCATTGGACTTGTGAATGTTGTCAACACAATAATTTAACAAGTTTATAAATTCTCCATCGAAAGACAAGAAGATAAAGTGATGGTACACTTGATCTTTCAAAATGATGTTGAGGTGTGTCATGGAAATATGATGAATTTTAAATCCATGATAATGTGCTTATAATACAAAATTATGAAGTACATATAAATGATTAGTCCATTCCTTGAAGAGAATGTGACTTGTGATGGGTATCGTAAATGCTCGACCAAAAGAATGGGTCAAGATGTGATAAAATCATTATGGGTTGGATATATGTCAAAACTCACCTCTATGGGAGGTTTGAAAAAAAATGATATATGTCACAACTCATCTCTACAAGAGATTTGAGAGGAATAAATAAATTTTTTATTTGGCCGAAATGGTCAATGATCGTGTGCGTTTATACGTCATAAATATTATGGTATGTTTATTATGAACTACCAAAAGGGCAAAAAAAAGAAGTAATCTTGCCTATAAAGGTTATGCCATGACCAAAATAATATTGTTGTGTGACAATACAAATTTGTCATTGATTGTGTATCTATGGTACAACAAAAGTAAAGAAAGAAACACGTCTTGCTCGTAATAATTTTGACCATGAGAATAATAATATAATTTCTCCTTGAGGAGATGTTCACCATATTGATAGTGTAATGGAATATATGATAGTACACAAAATTAATTGCAAGCTCTAATGAGTTGAAAGGAATAACATTGGGGTTGTAGTAAGTCTCAAAAGAAACTTGTAAGTTTTGGATGAATTGAAAAGAAATATTGAGACTATAATTATGAAAAGATTTATTATCTTCATATTACTACAATCGAAGCACGCTATAAATATTATATAAAAGATTGTCTGTTTTTTTCTCTTGTTTGTTGCACACAAACGTGGGCATGCTGATGGAATCACATGCAAAAGTAAATCGTAAGTGTACTAAAATAAAGATCAATTGGCATGATCGGTTGACCATTCTGATTTAAATGTGATGCAAATGTAATTGAGAATTCAGGTGGCTTATATGATGAAGAAATAAAAGATTCTTCAAGAATTCTCTTATGTTGCTTGTTCTCTTTATAAAATAATCATTGTACCAGCTAAGGTTGGGATTGTAATCCCCTGAAGTTTTTGAAATATATAAAACGGTGAATATGAGCTTATTCACCTGTCATGCGGATCATTTACAACTATATGATAGATGTATCTATGCGATGATCACATGTGCTTTATTGTCAACTCACAAATTGGTGTTTGTAAGGTTGTTTGCTCGAACTTTTAAATTAGAGCACAGTTTCAAACTATGAAATTATATTGATAATGCTGATTGATTTAGCAGAAATTATATGCCTCCAATTATAGCTAAATCATGGTTATAAGAACAAAACTCCTAAATAAGATTTGGTACGAGATAATTTTATTTAACATGTTATATGCATCAAGCCAACAAGGTTTTCCCATTAAAAATTGGTTCAGGGTTAGGAACCAAATAATTTTCATCTAAAATGTTTGAATGTGCGGTTATGATTTTAATTGTTCCACCACGCACAAAGATGAATTCCCAAATAAGGCTGGGATGAATGTTAAATTTTTTTTACATTAGGGGGGAGATGATTTTGGCAACTAAAAATTATGTGTAGGTTAATTATGAATTATCTAAATCCTCACTAAATAAATATGTGAACTTAAAGTTCAAGGGATCATTTGCATAATGTTGCAAATCAATTGCCAGATGAATGTACTGACCCTATGATATAATTCAGCTGCAAATGCTCCAATGTGAAGTATATGATACACCGGAAACGTAATAGACCAATTGGTTCAAAATATAAAATTCCTTGAAGAAGGAGAGGAGCAAATGATCAATATGGTCATAATAATGATACAAGTGCTATAAAAGAGCACATTGACATAACACTTCATAAAATCTCGGAAAAGGTTCAGGTACCTGAAAAATAATGAAAAATGAAGAGATATCGATAAGTTATGTCTTGTTGGAATCGATATCAAATAAACGTCAACAATATCTTTGATATGATATAGAGTCGATGATATAAATTGTGACGAACATCTTGAATTCAAATCTGTCATAGAGTGGGATAGATAAATGATAATCAAGTATATTTTGTTTTACTTAGAAAAGTGATGTTTTAGACTGGTAGTCCATAAATCAAGGTATAATATCAGTGGAGTAAAAATAAATTATAATGCGATAGTATAACCGTAAGATATCAAATACGATTTGTGCCTTGGGGTATAAAGGTTTGTCGCAAAAATTCTGACATTATTGGAGATGTTTTCTCCTATGGTGGATGCAATGAAGTTTGTTTTGATCTGGCAACATATGAATTGAATGCATATAATGAATAATTGTCATGTATAGCTAGACAATGAAGGTTATATGAAAATCCTTAAAGCAATCGAGGTGTCTAAAGCATATAAAAGTTTGAAGGAAACTTTTTCAATAAAGCTTCAAGAATCCTTATATGGATTGAAATAACCAAGGAAGAAAAGGGTACAAAAACAATGATCCTAATTATCCTTGTATTTTTATGAAAAGGTCTTGGTAAGACCAAATTTTATCTTAACCTACATATTGATAATTTGATAAATAAAATATTTACCTAATAGTGCACATACACAAAAAAAATTGTTGATGTGATTTTAAATGGATTGTTCACATCCATTAAGTACCCCAATGATTATGAGATCACTTGAAATAAATGATGATTCATTTTGATCTCAAGAGAAGGATGAAGAGATTCTTGGTGATGAAACTCCATATCTTAATGCAGTCAGGGTACTAATGCATCTTGCTAACAATACTCGACCATATATCTATTTTGCAGTAAATTTACTGGCAAGATTCGGTTCCTCCCTAACAAAAGAACACTGAAATGACGTTATGTATATACTTGAATATCATTGAAGGACCATAGATATTGGTTCATTCTATTCTGAAGAATTCAAGTCAGAGCTGATTGGTTACGCAGATGTAGAATATTTATCTGATCTGCATAAAGTACAATCTCAAACACGCTATTTGTTTGCATATAAAGACACAATAATATTCTGACGATCGATGAAGTAAATGTTGCTATGCAGAAATAAAATCCTCCATGAAGCAAGCTGAGAGTGCGTCTGATTGAGATAATGACACACCATATGTGATTTTTTTGAAAAAGAATATACCATTGGAGACATCATCGCAAAAAATTAATTGATGTTTTAATCAGGGTGAGTATAATACGCGTTGCACTCTTTTTTCCTTGACCGAGGTTTTGTCCCACTGGATTTTCCTGACAAGGTTTTTAATAAGGCAACAAATAATGTGTATCAAAAGATATGTGTACTATTTTTCCTTCACTAGAATTTTTTTTCCACTGAGTTTTTTCTAGTAAGATTTTAACGAGACACATAATATATAGACATCCAAGGGGGAGTCCATTGAATAGTAGATTGTTCATTTGCTTTCTTCATGAATTTTTCTTATCATGTTTCTACATTTCCAAGGAGACATGAACCTTTGTAGATAACTATGTACCTATTAATTGGACATTAAATATGGTGACATTTTGGTTGATTTCTCTACCTATAAATAGAGATATCATTCACCATTGTAATACACTTGAATAAGAAGAAAATTCATCTTCTTTTATCTATTTCTCTTGTCTTCTTCTCTTTATAATTATATTCTCAAAGCTTGATTTTATAACACTAATTTCTCAATTATTGAAAATTCTGCCCCATTATTGTTGAACTCGAGCTTTCTAACTATCACAATTCGATGTTTTAGAACGATAATTTCATGCTAGGTAACGATACCTTACAAACTAGAAGCAATTTTAGATGATATATATTACACCTACATGTAGGTGTTACCCCACAATTTCATGAACTTAATGTTTGACATATAATTCCACCATTAACATTAATAGTTTTAATCATTCTAAGGGATTAGCCAATTAATAAACAAAGAACTTCACCCCTAGCATTAGAAGAATCGCCCTTTAGGAATGGTTGAATGAGGTTTTGAAGCTTATGACAATAAACACGTAAAAACTGACTTAAAAATAGTTTGTCCTTTTCGATAGCAAACTTGTTTCTCTATATGTGGTGAACTATCTTTGCAATGCTAAAACATTTTATCAGCATTGACACATTTTAATTAAATAATCATAATATTTTATTTCATACTTTGATAAGTCACAAAAGAACGTATTTATTCGAAATTTAAAGATTATTTTCGTAAATAAAAAAGCAATTGGTAAAAGGCTGATAAGGAAAGGCCAACTGAGTCATTTCCAATTATTATTTTTTCTATGACGAATTAAATTAAATTATCAGTACGTCATACTCTCCTGTGAACCTTGTGGTACTCATGCAGGATACAAACAAACAGATCATATTTGTCTTCGAAATCTCATCTTCTCTTTAAAAAGCCATTAAAAAAATATTAGTGTGAAGGAAAAAAGAAATTGAATCCAAAAACATAAAGAAGAAGAAATTAAAATCATGGGATCCAAAGAGCAAAAAAAAGCATTGCTCAATCAACAATTGGAGCAACTTGGTTCAATTACTAATTCCCCTTCTGTAAAACTACTCTTATCTTTATTTTTATTTATTTATTTATTTATGCTGATTCTAGTAATTCAAAGGGATTAAGTAAATCTTTGTCTTTCTAATTCATTTTTTGTATGAAAGAAGAAATATTAAATCCTTTTTTATTAGTTGATTGGAATAGTTAGTGTTTATTCATCTTCTAAATGAAACCAATTTATTGCAATTTAGTATTTTGAATTGGATTTCTAGACAAGATAGAATTTTAAGATGGACTAAGATCAACCTTTCTGCATTTCTACCTCTACGAGGTAACGGTGAAATTTACACATTCCTTCTAATATATTATTTATGAGATTTTACTGATATATATATTGTTGTTTACTAAGATCAATCATTATGCCTCTCCACTCTCCAATAGTTAGTGATAAGATTTGTGTATATATATACATTATCCTTCGTATATACCATTTATGGAGGTTTTACTGAATATGTTGTTATTTACTAAGATCAATCATTATGCCTCTTCACCTCCATGAGTTGGTGATAAAGTTTGCATACATTTTATCTTTTTCAAACTTCACTTATAAAATTTCATTAGATATGTTGTTGTTCTTTACTATGTTCCACCTTTATGCCTCTTTACCTTCCTGAGGTAATAGTAAATTTTGCATACATTTTTCCCTCCTCGGTGACACTAGTGGGATGTAGGATTTCACTGCTATGTTATTGTTCTTGTGTACTAAGCTCAACCTTTCTCCAAAGTGTGTAGACAGGGTTAAAAAGTAAATATTTTGAGTTATTTGTATTGGTAGATTTATTTCCCAGAATATTGGTTAATTTTTCAGGTGAATAAGACATCAATCATTGCCCATGCATCGAAGTATATAGAAGAATTAAAGGAAAGGATTGACAAGTTAAATGAAGATGTTTCAACTTCACAACCTTATCATCATGACCATGAAGATGCCTTACCAGAGGTACGTATAGCTTAATTATACATTTTCACTTTTTTTTTCTTCTAAATAGCTTATCCATATATTATTTATTACCTTCTTTTTGAAACTTTTTTTTTATTTGGGGCATATAAATCATGAATTTGAACTTTCTTTTTTTGCAAAAAAATATATAGCAGTTATAAGTACAAGTGGTAACAAATAGGAGCTTTCAAATCGATCAAAATACTCATACAACTATGTTTAAAATTCGAGAGTTACACATAATTAGTTTGACCATGAATTTGAACATAAAACTTTTATAATTTGAGTTTGATCAATCTCAAAATTCGATAGATTTAACATAAATTATGACACGGAGGAAATAGTAACAACATTCTTCACAAAATACATCCCTTCTTTATCAACCATTTTTTAAAAAAAATCCATATATATAAGTGAAGTAGAAAATTATTACTCCTTCTGTCCACTTAATTTAAACTTTACTAAAAATAGATATTTATTTTTTATTTATAAAGTTTAAATGATGGATATTTATCATTTAGTTATTAATTTATTTTTATTATTAGCTACAATTATTTCTCAAAATAGAATTTATTATATTCAAAAGATGAAATAAGATATTTTTTATTTTATCAATTAATTTTGTTGTCTCATTTTACGTGGCGTCATTCCAGTTTGTATGATATTTAAGAAATAAAGTAAGACTTTTATAGTTTGTGATATGAAATAATTTTTAAATATTTGTGTGACTATAAATTATTTAAAACGTAAAAAAAAATTTTAAATTACTTATTTCTCGATTCCGTTAAATCCATAAGAACATACACCAGATGTGTGACATTTAAATTGTCGTCAATTATTAAATATTTGGCTCTCGAAACTATATAGTATTAACTAATAAAATCAAACATAGTGATTTGTGTCCAAGCTTCAATACATTTTCAAGTAAAAATTATAAATCAAATAAATTTTCTTTTTTCCCTTAGTATGTTGTGAAGAACGATAAGATGTGTGCTTATTTTGACCTAATAAACCTTACAGATTTATTACGTAGACGATTGCGTTCACATCTACACGAACTCGTTGTTTATAGTTCGAAATTTTTCCATCATTTTTGGATATAGGATTAATTTGAATGACCCACAAATAAACTACTTATTTTCAATAACTCACGAGACCCTTTATTCCTTAGCTCACATAAACTACCAAAAGGACAACTTTATATTATTATCCTTTTGTACTACATTTTATTTGTATTTTTTTGTTTCGTCCATTTACCACACACACAAGTAATTACTAGAGAGTAGAGATTAAAACGTTTTTCATGAAAAATAATTTTTCGAAAAAATACTATTTACTTATTCTTTTAAGAAATAACTACATTTCAATTTTTTGATGTTACAATTAATTAATTTATTTTTACGAGCTCCAAACATATCTCTCCTTAGGAAATTTGCTTGGAATAAGAAATTAAAATTTTAAAAGTAAGAATGATTATTTGTGCAAATAGGTAAAAAGTGACTTGTATATTGGTGTAAAAATCTTCATACTAATGGTGTATAAATCTTAAGCTGATTTCTTAAAGAGTTTAGGTTTGATGTATTGTTAGATTAAAAGATAGACAAATCCCGAGCGCACGACTCAAGTAAATTAGTGGCCTAAAGTCAAAATCAAACAGAGGTCTTAAACATAAATTATTAATAACTTTTATATACTTGATTTCTTCTAATATACATTTTCACTTAATAATATAATCATTCTTATTCTAAATTATCTTTAATGAGATATACTACTTCAAATATGTGAAATTTCTTCTAATAATAATTCTTTCATTTTATAAGAAAAAGTAGCTCTTTTATAAATATTATTCGATTAAAATAGTCCGTAATTTCTAACCTATTAACTATGACCCTTCAAATTTGAGGGTCTAAGACACATGTCTTTTTTTAATACTGTTTAGCTATCCTGGGTTACACCATCTGATCAATTACATGTAAATACTTTTGATAAAGATAATTTGATTGCTTTATAATAACTTTATCGTGTAGGTTATCGTAGAAACCCTAGAGAAGGGGTTCATAATAAATGTATTTTCAGAAAAGAATTGCCCTGGTTTGCTAGTCTCAATATTGGAAGTCTTTGAAGAGCTTGGCCTTGAATTATTGGATGCTAGGGTTTCTTGTTCAGATTGTTTTCGACTTGAAGCTGTTAGTGATGTAAGATTTTCTATTTCTCTATTTAATTTACTTCATATTCTACATTTTATTTTTAAATTTATATACCTTTTTTTCTTGTTTGTGGAACATAGAATATTTTCTTTATTTTTTATCAAAAAAAAAATCCCTTTGTTCAGTTTTACTTATCAATATTAATAGTTATATTTTTATTTTTATTTGTCACTTTTAATATATTAAAATAATAATAACATATTAATTAATTATTTATCATTCAAATAATTTCTCAAGATTTAACATCATATGTACATATGAATATCGTGGTAAAAATACATAAATCAATAATTATTTCTTAAAAATAACATATCAAATCCAATATAGACTAGTAAAAATGAACAAAAAGAATGCTATGGTGTATAAGACACGATTTATGAAGTTGTTCTTATTTATTTCTTGTTAAGAAGTGTTACTATTAAAAAAAAAAGTGTTATCCATTCATTTCATATTACTTGATTTTATTTATATTAAAAACAAATTGGCATTTTTATTTTTCCATTTTAATAAATCAAAAGAGTTTAATCATAGTTTTTTAAAAAAATATTATGTCATTATAAACAAAGTATTAATAACCAAATATTAATTTTCAAAGCACATATACTAACAAATTTAATACTAAACTAAACCCTTGATATAATATATATTTATAAAAATGTGTCAAAGTCAATACACATTAAATTATATAAAATAGAGGGAATACTAGTTATAATCTTTTAATTGCAAGGATAAAACTAGAAAATATAATGAATTCTTTTCTGATTTTCTAAAACAAAAATTATTTTGAAACTTTTCTTTTCTTTTCTTTTGGACTAAAAATTTAATGAATTAGATGAAAAGAGTACTTGTATTCAAATACTTTTTGTCCAAATTGTTGTTTAAAACTTCACGTGTGACTTGTACAAAACGACCTCATTGTTTGAACCACACACCTTGGCTTTTTGATTGATTGTCACCATATACCAATTGATGAGTGCCCAATTTTTAATTATTCTTGTTTTCAATGTGATTTACTTTTTGTTTTAGTCTGTTTTAAAATAAATATACAATTCTATATTAAGCAATGATTTTAATTTTAAAATGTCCATTTATCCTTAATAAAATTATTTATAACCACATAAATTTCTATTATTTATTTTGAACTATAGTTTTTTTTTAAAAAAATTTGTGTCGAATCATACTACCTCACATAAAATAGAACGAAGAAAGTACTATATGTCCAATAATAGTTGTTCACTATTGACCTTACATACTTAAGAAACAATAAAATAGAATGTTTTAAAAAAAATAATACGAAAATGATTATAATTAAAGATAAGTGCAATTTAGGAACTAAAATATAAAATTATCCATTGATTTTATAAAATGAACAAATATTATTGGGGATTTCTGAATAGTCTAGTGGATAACAATTGTTAGACGCAGGGAACAGACCCACACCACACGGTGGGGGTGTACGTGCACCCGATAACTTCCAAAAAAATCATATGTATTTATATTTTGAAATACTGATAGAAATTAAGATATAGTTAACAGTGTATCTATAAAAAGCATAGAAATTCCCTAGTGCAATTGATAGAAATTAGAGTTACCATTCTCTAGATTAGGGTTCAAATCCACTTAAGCCTATTTTTATTTTAAATTTAGCCTATTTTTATTTTAAATTTAGCTTGGACCTTATATTTGAGCTATGTTTATATTGGTGCACCCAAAACCTCCTCTGGTTAGACTTAGACGGGATGATATTTGGGATAATATTTCTTTTAAGAAGCTTTCACGTTTATCCACCAAAAACTTTAATTTAATTTTCAATATAAAAGAAAAGAGTTTGATTTGTCGACTAGTTTACTGAAGAAAATTAGAATTCACGGAGGAAATTGATTTTCTAAATAAATAAATATTATTTAAATAATCATATGAGAAATTAATTTTAAGAAAAATTATATTATAAGATGTTCCTTTGTATTAACGGAATAGTTTAATCAATTTTATATTCTGACATAACATTTAATTAATGATCTAAAATATTCTTTATTAATTAAAATAATCAAGAAGAGAAAAAAAATCATCATTGTGATCATCTTTTACAACAAAATTCAGAAAACAAAAAATTACAAGATTGTATTATACACGCATATCAATTCAATTTTGAGATAATTAATACATTACAAAAGCTAATACTTCTTATTCTAATTAATATTTCAATATTTTCATTTGTTCGATTAGTAAACTCAAATTAATTAAACTCGTTTACTAAAATTACTGGCGATTGCATGTTTCTTTTTAAAATATGCAATCAGTAACATTAAAAAGAAGTTTAATTGTGTGAAATTCACCTGATTATACAATCAAATACATTTAACAATCATATCACTAATTAAGATAGTTACGTAGAGGAATTTTTACGAGACACTAGCTAGCTTAGGATTACCTAATACTCACGAGTGAACAAATGTTAACCATATCATTCCATTATTTGATTGTGTTTGATTGGACATTAAGTTAAAGAATTAGAATATATAATTAATAAAATTATTGAAATTTGTAATGTAAAATTAGTCAAAGATATTTCTGTAATTATAAAATCATCTCATTAGGATAAAATGAGAACATAAAAATTAAATTATTACTAAAAATAGTACTTTATTTTGTTTAAAACTAAATAAAAAACGAAATATAAATTGAAATAGAGAGAATAATACAAAATTATGATTACATGTGACTTCTTAATACTAGAAGTTAAACTACATTGAGTGATAATATAAAAAAATATATATATTTTTTACCTTATATTATGACTAAAAAAATTGTTACTATTGCAGAAGGAAGGAGAAATTGAATGCATAGATGCCCAAATGGTAAAACAAGCAGTGTTGGAAGCTATAAGGAATTGGAAACAACTCAATCACCAAGATTAATTTAATCACATTTACTTATTTTCTCCCTATGTTCTTTCAACAACAAAAAAAAATTCATCAAAATAAATAAATTTAAAAAAAAACAGAAAAAAGGGAAAATAAGCAAAAAGGAGAAGTCCTGTTCGTAAATGCTGCATTTTATGGATTAATATTAATCAACATGATGACATAATCAATGCATTTTTTCTTGAACAATTTAAGATCATAATGTCCCATGCACTACGAGAAATATGATGTGCGCATCTTGTAAAATTAATCTAAAAAATACTTCATCTGTGCTTAATTATTAATACTTTTAAATTGGCATACTTATTAAAAAATAATTAGTTTACTTCTATTAATTACGAAATAGATGAATTAAAAATATAAGATTTTCAAAAAGTTTTATCTTTTTCATGGTTTTGTTAATAGGTTATTTAGAAAACTATATAAGCCTAAATAAACCCTAAATTAACCATTCTAACTAACTCATCTAAAAACCCAAAACTCTCTCCAAAATCATTTCTTTAGAAGAGAAGAAGAAGAAGAGAAGAAGAGAGACATCAACCTAGGTCAAATTATCTTGGGATTAAAGCTTGATGTAGGGAATTGATCAAGTGTATATGAAGATCCTTCATCCATGAGTTCTTCCACCCATGGATCCCCCATAGTTATCCCTCTATTGTGAATCCAAAATACCCTAAACTAGTTAGGGTTCTGATTACATTGTGGGTAGAGTTTGATTGTGATTCCAAAATAGTGGATATCATTATTTTTATGTTTATATGATGTTTTTCATGTGAATTTCTTTATGAACCCTAATCTAAGTTGATGAAGGTTATCATGGTAGGTTTAAGCCATTAATGGTGAAATTGAAGGTTCATTAGAAACCTTCCTAAATCAAGGTCTTGAGTAGTAATTGATCAAATTTAGGGTCATGAAAATATGAATTGAACTAGAACTTGTTTATTAGATTGATCTTGACTTGTAAATCTTGAATTGAACCTAAAAGATGAATTATGGATAAATTCACCTAGTAATGAAGATTGTGATGAGAACCGCTTAAGAAGAAGCCTATTACTTTAAAGTCTTGTAATATTCATATAAATGAGGATAGGATGAAGTGAAGATTGTGATCTTAGGTTGTGTTGGCTGTAGATTTAGGATTTGAATGAATAAAAGTTATAGAACTACTTTAGCTTGATGGATTGTCAAGGACATCCTTCCATGAGAGAGAAAAGTGTTAAGCAAGGTTTAACAAGTAAACCTTGGAGTATATGCTTGACTCCAAGTGGATATGCCAATGACAAGGAGTGTCAAGAAAGATAGGGTCCGTACTCCAAGAAGAGAGGTGAGCCACACTTAGTAGATGTGAGGACTATCCAAGATTAAGGAGGAACACTAACATATTAGAGTGTGGGTTTTCGTAATTTGGTCTGATGAGACGGGATCCTTCACATAGATGAGTCAAGGTTTCCTAGTAGATGTCTCCATATCCTATGAACTCAGACATGCTTGAGAAACATCTCATAGTGTTCAAAGCATAATTAACTAAGACTTACTTAATGAAGTAACTCATAGTGTCATGAGTATATATGAACTTAGACATACCAAAAGTGGTATCTCATAGTGTTCATGAGTGTAGGTGAACTTAGACATACCAAAAGTGGTATCTCATAGTGTTCATGAGTATAGATGGACTTAGACATACTTAAAGAAGTATCTCATAGGGTCCATGAGAATAAGGAGCTTAGACATAATTAATGAAGTATCTCTTAGAGTTCAACTTGATAATGAACTAAGATGTTCTTAATATAGAGTGCTTTATAGGGTTCTAAAGTTAAAAGAGAGGAAGGTGGTTCCAAACTAAGAAATGTTAGTAAGAGGACATGAAAGTAATGCCTAGCATGATTAGTATGGTATGCTATGAGTGCATTGCACAAGGTATGACTTAGGGTCACCAACGGGAAGCCTTCAGATAGGATTGGACTAGATTTGCCTTTCCTAGTTGTAATTGACTAAGAATGAGAGGTCCTTTAGTTTGAGAGTTAAGTTAATAATGATCCCAAGGTAGGGTGAATATGAATAAGATGACTTCAATGACATGCTTAGGGTGAAGGTAGTATGCTATGCCTTTCATTTATTGCACAAGTGTGCCTTGCAGTTACTTAGTAGTTTACCATCCATATGGCATAGAGGAACTTAAGAGTTGACCATGTACATATATAATAGTTAAAATGACAAGAAGACCTTAGTCTTGAATATGAGAGTGGACCATGACCGAAAATGACGAAAGAGTGGTTCTTAGCTCAGACGGTAGTATGGGATTCTATCCTTGCATTGCACAAGCATACTTATAGGTGGATTTTGAGTAGTCCTATTGTAATATGAAAAGACCTAAGGTTAAAGGATGTGACTATGAGAACCCAAGTAAAAGCTATGCATGAACTTAATGTGTTTCTTATGCTTACTAACTATGTCTTATATTGACTATGTTTATATGATGCTTATATTGGAAACTATGCTATGGGTATGATGTTTATGTTATGATTATGTAATGTCTCTTATGCTTTGTCTTATGTTGAATAATCATTTGAGATGTTCTTATGATGTTATTTAGCTTTCATATTTTGTACCTTTGTACTAACACATATTGTCTACATTCTAACCAAATATAAGGTTGGAGGCTTGAGTTTGCATTGAACGTTAGAGTTTCAAGGATCCTAGACAAGTGAAAAAATTGGTGAGTCCTCGTAGCTTCGAGGAAGAACCCTTATGTTCCTTTATGTCATTTAATTTTATGTTTTAGATTTCATGTGGGCTGCGTCCCCAGTCTTTAATTCATGTCATTCATAGATGGTTTGAGACAAATGATGTTAGAAAGACTTCCGCTTTTATGAAATACTTTTCGAGTTATATTTTAAAGAACATTTTTAATTTTCCCTATTTTTCTATGATTTTATGTAATAAATTCTAAGAGTTTGTATAAGATCTCTTCGAGATCAAATACGCCATGTTACGACTAGGGGGTGCTCTCGGGTCGTGACACTATAATTCTCAAACCAAAGGTCCTACTACACAAAAATACAATGCTCTAGATCTAATGACACTGACAAAAATTCATTTCAGCCCATCAATAAAAATATTGACCAAAATCAACTCTTTCAACATAAGAACTCCAATAGGGGAAAACCATCCAAAACTCTCCCGACCACCTCGAAAAGCAGTTGTCCACCTTAGCTAGTCATAAATACAATACTAAAGATACGGGGAAGAGAAAAACAATAAAGAAATGCAAAAGAATGAAATGACCACGAGAGTCATAACATAAGTGATGTTCATATTCTTAGTGAATGGAAAGCAATGTTAATAGACATTTATCAAAAATTGAGTGAGCATCTAGGGAATGGAAAAATGTTATATATATATATATATATATACACACACCTAATCCAAATGCATACATACGTGATGTCATCTCAATAATTTACACAATTTACTCACCCATGGCCCGAATTTGAACGCTCTTTTCGTTATTTGTTTGTTAGCCAGTGTGGCCATGAATATAGAGATGGCTTAGTACACTATTGAAGTGTTTTTCATATAAAAATACAAAATTCCCCATCTTATATAAATTAAAATATATTAAATTCTGTTTATACAAAAACTCAATTAAAAGATTATAAAAATATCTATCGCGACTAAGTCATGGAAATAGTTAAAATTATGTTATGACTAGTTATAGTGGGATAAATTGATATAGCATTTCTAGTTGTGGAATGAGTTTTGGCCTTGTTATAAATATTGATTTGATTTTGTGTGTGTATTACTATCTACTACTCTATCTGGTTAAAAATGAATGACCTTATTTTCGTTTTAGTTTCTTTTAAAAAGAATGTATTCTTTTTTCTTATAATATTTTAATTTCAGATTTTCATGTGACATGTTTAAGGCCACAAAATTAAAAGGTAATTTTGTAAATTTTGAAATAACTTTAATTTAGTATCACAAGATTCAAAAAAAATTCTTCATTTTCGTAAACTCCATGCTAAATGTCAATTCAAACTAGATCAATCTTTTTAAACTAGGTAATTCATTTTTAAATAGAGGGAGTATTTACTATTTACCATATAACATAAACTAGTGTAGGTGTGAGGTGAGCGTTTATAGAGATGGGTAATGGGAGCATTGAAAGCTGGTGAAATACTGAACTAACACTATATGACTCTCTTTGCTTCTTCTGTGTTCTCTCTCCCTCTGTTAAAGTCAAACTCGGATCCTATGTTCTATTCTCCACCAAGAAAGGGTTCAATTTGGGATTCCAGAAGCTTAAAACCAGAAGATTACACAGTATGGTAGACTTTGGGCGTCATACATACCCTTATCGTTAGCATAGCTTCTTATAATTTCCTTTGCCTTTAGTGGAGCTCCAACGTAAAAAATGCTTTGCGAAATAGCTCTCTTTTTACAAAATAATAATTGTTCATTAGCATTGAAGCGCCTACTAATAAAATCATAGCTTTTTGTGCAAATTCTAAGTGAATGGAAAGCAATGTTAATAGATATTCGTCAAAAATTGAGTGAGTAATTAGGAAATGGTAAAAAGTCGAATATATCCAAACTATTAGAAATTGTATGTATACATCTCTCATTTATACTTTAAGTTTGCAAAGTTTGCAGATATGCTTGCATCATATTTTTGGGCCATATACATACATACATAATACATATATATACATACGTACATACATACATGCATAGATACATACATACATACATATATATATGTGTGTGTGTGTGTATATATATATGTATGTATATATATATATATACATACATATATATATATACACACACACACATACATATATATATATATATATATATAGAGAGAGAGAGAGAGAGAGAGAGA